GGATAACTCCGCTAGGGAATAAACTGATGAGGAAATGACTCTATGGAGAGGTCATATTTTGCTAGAGGACCTGTTGATTTGGAAGAATAACCTCAGTCAGGGGTGAATTTCCATTGTCGGTGATAATGAACCTGTTGGAGATTGAATTTCTGTTTGGGAAAGGAATGAACTCCGCTGGGGATGATTTTCCAGTTGCGACTTCATTGGGGATAACTCTTTTAGGCTCTACTGGGGACAATCCTTCAGCTTCTACTGGGGATAACTCTCTAAACTCCACTGGGGACAATTTTATAGTGCTGATGGTAGATAAACTCTGCTTGGGCAGAATATTGCCGACTCATTCGCGGTTGCGAGCCTCAGATGGGGAGAATTAACACCACTGTCTTTCTCCTACTCTGCGGGGAGTGAATATACCTTTAATGGATTTCTCCAACTAGGTATATCCCTATACCTGGTGGATAGAGCAGCTGTACGGTTTGGGAATTTCTTGTTTGCTCTTGTTCCTGATATTACGAGTAATCGCCTTTTGTTTCGCATGTAAATATTCATGAGCGGCAATTATTGTCAGATGCATATATCAAAAATGAACATTGGATGTTCTTGCAAAACAAAACAGAAAAAGGAAACAATTTGAAATTTCTTTGTGAAAATAAATCGTATTGATTTTGAAGTCGGCCTGAAAATAGACGTTTTTTGTACAAGAGGCTGACGTCCTAGTAAGAGAACGCCGTCGAACAATAGAATTTATACAATTTGTGAAAAACAAAGAAAAACAGCTATGTGAATAATCCCATTGGGTTCCAACTCTGCTATTGCCTTTATGTCCTCGAGCATCTCATCACTTCTCTACTTGGTTGAAGGTAGATCAGATTGTTTGGCATCGTTCGAGCCTGGTAGTTGATACCGAAGTATGGTTGCAAGGTGATCCAATGAGACATAGTATTACGCTTTAATCCCTAATTTTTGCCCGGACCGCCCTTTCGGGTTTTCAGTCCACCGGGATACCCTTTTTTGCCCAAGCTGCCTTTTCAGGTTTTCGACTTGCCAGGTGTACAGATTTTTTTCATTTTCATCCCTTATTTTTGCCCGAACCCTTTTGGTTCACCGGGAAGCCCTTATTTTTTCCTAGGCCAGTCAACCTAGTAGGTCTTTGATTATGCGTAGTATTTTTTTCCCTATGTCTGCATTGACGGGGTGAGGAATGTCATCACCATCCATGGTGGTCAGAATCATAGATCCTCCTGAGAAAATGTTCTTAACCACAAATGGCCCTTCGTACGTAGGGGTCCATTTGCCCCTGGGATCACCTTGTGGTAGGATGATGCGTTTGATCACCAGATCCCCAACTTAATACTCTTGTAGTTTAACTTTCTTGTTAAATACCTTGATCATCCGCTTTTGATACGTTTGACCATGACAAATAGCAATAAGTCTCTTTTCGTTGATTAAGTTCAGCTGATCAAGTCGGGTCTGGATCCAGTCGTCTTTGCTCAAACCTGCATCCTTCATAATCCGAAGAGAGGGTATCTGAACTTCAATGGGCAAGACGGCCTCCTTGCCATATACCAAGGAATAGGGTGTTGCCCCTGTTGAAGCCCGTGCTGAAGTACGGTACCTGTGAAGAGCAAATGGTAACATCTCGTGCCAATCTTTATATGTCACTGTCATCTTCTGCACAATCTTCTTGATATTCTTATTATCCGCTTCAACAACCCCATTCATCTTCGGCCGGTAAGGAGAAGAGTTGTGATGTTGTATCTTGAACTGTTTGTAGAGCTTGGTGATCATTGTATTGTTGAGATTTGTACCATTGTCCGTAATGATCCTCTCTAGTACATCGTATCGACAGATCAGATTGTGCCGAATAAACCGTGCCACGACGTTCTTAGTTACAGTAGCAAAGGAAGCTGCTTCAACCCACTTTGTAAAGTAATCAATCGCTACCAAGATGAAACGATGTCTGTTGGATGCAGTAGGTCTGATCTCTCCAATCATATCGATGCCCCACATTGCAAAAGGCCACAGAGCTGTCAATACATTCAGAGGAACTAGAGGTATATGCACCTTATCAGCATAGACTTGGCACTTATGACAAGTCCGAGAATGCTGATAACAGTCGGCTTCCATAGTAGACCAATAATATCCTGCCCATAGGATTTTCTTTGCCATGGTGTGTCCACTGGAATGAGTTCCGAAAGTACCTTCATGTAACTCTACCATAATCCTTTTTGCCTCATTCTTATCCATACAACGCAGTAAGGTTGAATCATGGTTACGCTTGTAAAGGATACCATTACTGATGAAGAACTTCGCTGTGAACCTCCTCAAGAACTTCTTATCATTAACAGATGCACCCTCGGGGTATTCTTGAGCCTCAAGATACCTCTTTACCTCGTGAAACTAGGGTTTTTCTGTTACCTCTTCAGTCTCAATGTCACAGCAATGTGCAGCTTCATCCAACCTCTCAATGGTAATCTGGGGAGCCTCATTGTCCCACCTGACTTTGAACATAGAAGACGTCGTAGCTAGCGCATCCGCTAACTGATTCTCCTCTCTGGAGAAGTGTTCAAAGGTTATCTCCTCGAAGTGTGGAAGCAATGTTAATACACACTCCTTGTAAGGAATAAGATTTGGGTGCTTTGTATCCCACTCGCCTTTGATCTGACTGATCACGAGAGCGGAATCTCCGAATACACTTAAGAACTTAATCCTTAGGTCAATAGCTGCTCGAAGGCCCATAATGCACGCTTCATACTCCGCCATGTTATTGGTGCAGTTAAAACATAATCGGGCGGTGAACGGAGTATGACATCCTTCAAGAGATATGATCATGGCGCCAATGCCATTACCCAAAGCGTTTGAAGCTCCATCAAAGTACATAGACCATCGGGATTCTTCCTCAGGTCTTTCATCTGGTCCAGGTATTTCACAGTCCGTCACCAACATGATATTCTCATCTGGAAACTCGAAGTTCACAGACTGGTAATCATCCACTTCCTGATGTGCCAGATGATCTGCTAACACACTTCCTATAATTGCCTTTTGGGTCGTGTATTGGATGTCGTATTCAGTCAAGATCATCTGCCATCTTGCTATTCTTCCGGATAAGGCAGGCTTCTCGAAGATATACTTGATTGGATCCATCTTTGATATCAATAGAGTAGTGTGAGTCAGCATATACTATCTCAACCGACGAGCAGCCCATGCCAAAGCACATCAAGTTTTCTCAAGCAACGAGTATCGGGTCTCACAGTCGGCAAACTTTTTTCTAAGGTAATAAATAGTATGCTCTTTTCGTCCATACTCGTCATGCTGCCCCAGCACGCACCCCATTGAACTATCCAGTACTGTCAAGTATAAAATCAAAGGTCTCCCTTCAACTGGAGGCATCAGAATAGGTGGCTCTTGGAGATATTCTTTGATCCTTTCGAAAGCGGAATGACATTCTTATCGGGACTTTATGAGTCTATTGGGATACTAACTGCAAGTATACAGTTTAGTCGTTCTAGTTTTAAATGATTATCGAACCCACAGAGACTGAGGATCAATCGCATACGATCTAATTCTACAATTTGTTTAACTAAGCGATGAATATTTGGTTTTAGGGGGGAAATAGTTTAATTAAAAATAATAGTAATAGTTATACCGGTATGTGATAGTCGGACTTCGGGAATTCGGTGAATCGCTTGGCCTAAAAAGTATTTCGGTAAAAAAGAATTGTTTAAAAACCTGAGACATACACTCTCGTGTTGTTGTACCCCAATTTTTGACCTAAGATCCCATTTTTATTTTTTGCATTTTTAAGATAAGTCAAGGTCACGAAATACGGTCGGTTTTAACGTCTCACCTTCGAGCTTTGACTATGCGAAGATTGTCAAGTGTTTTGAACATTTTTAGCATATGTATCACTAATTTCTAATCGCATACAAAGGTGTATGTTCATGTTTTCTTTTGTGTCATGTGCAGAGACAGGTCTGTATCAAGATCGTCAAGTGTCACGCCTCAATTAAGGTTTTGAGTCTCCCAAGCCAGAAGTACGGTTGATTGTGGATTCTCGAAGACTGATTCATCAAGGCACAACTGTTGCACCCTAAATTTCGCCCCTAATATGTTTTAGTCGCACTTTCAGATCATATTTTGTTATTTGGTCACGATCATTAGTAAATATCTTCATTCATCACATTTTGCATCATTAGTCGTATTTAAGTTGACCAGAAAAAGTCAGTTTAAATCAAAGTTTGCATCGTCTTTCAGTTGTAAAATACCCGGCGTTTCACATCATTCATTTTTACCTGTTTATTATTTTCTTGCATTGCTCCAAGTTGTTTATATGTCGATAATAAAAATATTTCGGTTTTATAGACAAACTTAAAAGCGGTTCGACACTGTGCGGAAAATTAGCGAGAAAAATATTTCAAGTTTTCACCTTTTACCGATCATTTTATGAATCTGCGTTTCGCGTAGACTATGACGGTATGCTCGCTTTATTTTTTCGGTACAGTTCGAAGTCTCGTTTTTAACCTTAAACGTCTGTTTAGTCTGATATTTTTATTATTATTTTATTTTTGAATTTTGACTTCTTGAATATTTTTTCTTTAATCTTTGTGACATGTAGATTATTTTAATGTGTTCATTTTATTTTTTCGGATAAATTTTCGTCCGTTTTTTATCATTTTCGGTCGTTTTAGGTCTTTATTTTTTATTCATAAAATATTCAAAAAAATCATTTTAAATTGAGTTTTTTTATATACTTTCAAGTTTTATTTTTATTTTTGTCATTAAAGGGCCTTTTAGTCACAAAAAATATTAAATATATTATGCTTGATTTTCATTGGCTGCTGGATGAAATTGAGGATCGATACTGTCACCACTTCAACCTCACTTTCTATTTCATTCACACACAACCTCACTCTGTTGTTCTTCATGGACAGACACATTCACACCAACACTTGTCTTCACTAACCTTCAACAACTCGTTTCAGTAAAACCCAAAGGCCTAAATGCCTCTTTCCGTCACCCAAATAGTCCACTCAATTTTCAATCTCGTATCACTCACCTTTTCTTCCCAACTCTTGTTTCTTCACTCAATCATTACAAATCATGGTTACTCGATTATCAACAAAATTCATGAACATCTGCATATCCTCAATGTGCAAATCAAACAAACTACCAAACACCCTTCACTCCATTTGGCTCTCACAAACCAGCAAACCCATTTTCCTCTTCATATTCCTCTTCGTCAATCTTCCGACCTTCTCACTCTTTCCGCTCCACCTACTGCACACACAAACACCACCACAACAGCAGCAACACACCGCATACTCTCTCCGCAACATGCTATCCACCATCAATTTTCTGCTTCTGCAATTTCCGGCGACAACATACAACTCCCTTCTTCTCTCCATTTCCTTAAAAACCCCTCTCATCTCTCCTTTCGTCTTTTCTTCTACAACACAGAGCAACAACAACTTACCTTCGTTCAACACTTCAATTTTCCGTCCGGATCTTCCACACCGATTTCCATCGCATATTCCCACTGTACAGATCAACACCAGTTGGTTCAACCTCCCCTTCTCCGTTAACCCTTCAATCCCTCCATCAATCCACCGAACCTCCCAACCATCCTCACCGTAACCTCACCCATGTCTTTACCGTCGTCTTTCCCTTCGCTTGTGTCTCCTCGTACTTAGTTCGGCAACATGAACATTCTAGGGAATATATCTAATATGACTTCTATGCTGAATCAATCTTTCTCAAATGGAGTTCCGAATCACGGGCTCACGGGTCAAGGAAGTAGCCAACATGGAGGGATTGAAAGTAGAGCTGAAGCAGGCCAATTTTCTAGTGTTGGCAATGGATCGAGCTTCACTACTTCTCCATCCTCATATGTACAAGCGAATATGGCGAATGCCGGTTCCTCTGGTCAAGTTCAGGGTCAACCATTTTCCAACCCTTCTAACAACCAACAACCAAACCGTTACGCTCTATACTTTTCAGTTTGAAGCTCACTTTTATTATTCTTCATCTCTCAAGTTCTTTGTTGCTGCAAATAGTGTGGTTTGTTTCTTGTCGGTGTCGTTACTGTTATTCAATCTTTTGAGGAGGAGGCAACAAACACATCAACTAAAAGACCACTACTTCTTCCTATTTTTGTTTGATTTGGTAATGACGGTGTTGTTGATAGCTGGATGTGCACCAGCCATAGCCGTTGGATTTGTGGGACAGTATGGAGAAGACCATGTGGGTTGGACTCCAATTTGTGACAATGTGAAAAAACTTCTGCATAAACCATAACATTCCACTCTACGGTGACTATTATTTAATATTCTATTTTACTATTCTATTTTACTTTTAGTTTTTTATTTAGAAGATTTTATTAAGTGTTATTTCAAGTAAATTGGGCTTGACATTTACTTTGGTCTCTAAGCCCAATTGTTATTTCTTATATACCCCATTTAAATTTTGCATTCATGTTTTGTTCTTTTTGTTTTTATTTTAATTTAGTATTTGATAAATATTAAAAATCTAAGTAGAATTTATTTGTAAATAAAATTCAATTTGTGATTTAATTTTCTTATTGTTTTATTTAATAGAAACTTTTGAGTTTTAGATTTAGTTGGAATTTTATCTTGTAAATAAATTTAAATTGTGTTGTCTATTTTATATCATTTCATTGTAATTTCAAATTTTGAGCTCGATTTAATTTTCGAATATATAATGAATGTATAAACTTCACTGACCAGTTTTTTATGGACTTCGATTCGACGCATTCCGGTCCCATAGCTTGATTCTTTATTTCACATGAGATGTTCATATTATTTCTCTGTTATCCTGTTTATCTGTTTGTTGGAGTTTTTCATGTGATGTAGGGAGTCTTATACCGCGAGCGTCATCCACGATATCTTTTTTTCCGTGATTTATTTTCACGCGTTACACTTCTCGCTTGTGGTTCATTGCGCTTTATTCGCTGCTGGGAGTATTATCTTACATCTGGTTTTTTTTGACGCTGTCGACTTGTGATTTATTTTCACCTAAGGTTTGGTACACTCTTAGTTTACTTATCTGTCTGTGGCTTTAACTCCAAGGAAAAGATTTAAATTTGTTGACTTCACATCATCAAATACATCTCATCCGATCGTGCGAATACCTTTTTTTTTCATTTTTGTTCGTTAACTATTTTGTTAAACCTAAGATAATTTTCCCAAAAGATTCAATTTTTAAACTCACACCTTTTAAGTCAAAACTTCGACATTAGGTCGCTGTCTCTTCAAAATCTCTCCAACACCGATTTTTAGCCAAACGAACCATTCTAATCAAACAAACAATTTTAACCAAAAACAGATATTTCAAAAGGTTCCTGTGGAGTACCGCAGATGCATTGGGTGCTAATACCTTCCCATTGTATAACCAACCCCCGAATTCTCGATCTCTTTCAAAAACGCATTGTATTTTTATCACTTTTAAGTATTATTTTACATTGCATATTTTAGGGTTTTATTTCGCTCTTTTCCCTTTTCCCTTGGAAATAATAAAGTGCGGTGGCGACTCTTGCTTTTGTGAGTCAAGTTAATTAATAGCTCGATCTCCGATTTTCACCGCTACAGAATTGGCGACTCTGTTGGGGATAGGTTGACCTCTTGCTGGTCCATCCCTAAGTGGGTTAAGCCTAATTTGTTTTATCTGTTTTATCATTATTTGATTGTTTGATTATATGTATATATTATGATTATTTGGGTGTTGATAATATTTACAAAGGACAAGTCCTATACCCGGACTAAGTTACACTTAGGAATAGGACGGGCGGTATAGTCATGTTAACTTTGAGGGAGTAATCCCGAAGAAGGAGGCATGAGATCCCCCACTCAGTGGAAGGCCCTTTTGAACGTAATATTTGTTTACCGAGTAATCGGGAAGACATTATTATTTTCGACCTGGGAGCCAGAGAAGCTGAGAACTGTAGAACCCTAATCCATCTTGGCCTTTTAGGTGTAGTGCGGAGATTATAACGGAGTAATCCGGAAGTAATTGTTACGCGATGCTACGCTCGGATGAGTTTCTCTTGAGAATATTGCTGATTATTGAGTAATCAAGACGTTGGTAATATCCGAAGGAGGAATGTAGACTCCGGGAACTCTTAGAACCTTGTTCTACAGGTGTGATTAAACCGTTAGTACATACCTTGGGGGTGTTCCTTACCTTGACTCCATGCTCGTGACGTTGAACCTTTCAACTTTATTTGTGACCTCGCTTGTGGTTGTTGCATAGCCATGCATTCATGCATCCATAAAACCCTTTTCACTTGACTTTGAAGGAATTTGGAGGTCTTTCTTTGTAAACATCACAAGTTTCGTCAAGCTCAATGGATCTTGGGTGTTGATAGGGCGAAAACCCTAATCCACCAAAATGGATGATTGATCTTGATGATAACTTGATCAATGTTTGGAGCCAATTTAAAATTCATCTTCTATCTTCATACTTTGATGTTTATAACTTAATATCTTGAGTTCCTTGAAAATAAAATAAAAACTCTCTTTCGCATATCATGCATCATTCTACATTTTTTGTTTCACTTTCAAAGGTCTTTTTCCAAGTCTTATTTTTCCTTTGGTCTCACCAGTACAACACTCGCGCTAAGAAAACAATGGAGAATATCAAGCAAGAGATTTCTAAACTCCGTAGAGAGATGAATATTTTGAAAGCTAGTATGGAGCACTTAACTGGTTTGGTTGAAATTCTGGTTGCCGCCCAAGTCAATCCTTCTAGAAGGGAAGAAGCGATGATAAAAGTCTTCACTGAAACTCTAAAATCATTCTCTCATGAGAAGGTGATGGTTAATGCACCTATTGACTTTCCTGACAAGGTGAATGTGGGAGTGCCTCTAGAAGAAGATGTTGGGAAGGGATGTTCATATTAAGATGGTAGCCCAGCTAATGGTGTGAAGAAGTTTGATAATAACTTTTCCAAGAAGAGAACCAGAGGAAGAAATAATCATCGTCAGAATCATCATGTTTCTCCTATTCATCAACAGAATCAGCAAGTTCCTAATCAGAGGAAAACCCAGTGTGATCCAATTCCAATTACCTATACAGAGTTGTTCCCTATCCTGATGCAGAGGAATTTGGTTCAGACCCGACCTCCATCGAAGGTTCCTGAGAAGATACATTGGTACTACAAAGCTGATTTGGCTTGTACCTTTCATCAAGGTGCTCCTGGGCATGACTTGGAGGGTTGCTTTGCTTTGAAGATTGAGGTTCAGAAGTTGGTCAGAAGTGGTATCTTGTCATTCAAGGACGTTGGTTTTGAAGTTCAAATCAAGCATGTGCCGAAGAGTAAACACGATTGATGGTCACTTTGAGTTTTGAAGGATGTTTTCGGTGATTCAAGTCCAGATGGAAAGCCTTCCCAGATTATTAACTTATTCCTGCTTTTTGTAATTTTTCTTGTTTATCAAAACATTGTTTGCATGTAATAACTTGTTTTCATCTGAATGATTATCTTAATACAATGAGTATGTTTGTCTTGAAGAAATTCATTCGTTTCACTCATGTTTGTTTTTAAATTTTAAATTGCTTTTTGCACTATGATACCAAATTGTTACTCATTCTCTTGCCTAGGCAGAGATTGAAGGGAGGATGATGATCTAAAGAACACAAAATCTCTGGTTGCATGCTTTTGGATAAAATCTTGCTGATGATGTACAGGCATTATTTCAAATCCCTAAACACCGGAGAAATAAGGAAGATAATCCCTTTCTAACCCCTTTTGAGCCTTTGAAGTAGAAGTTTCTTTTCTATACGAAAAAAACCTTGAATTTTAACCTGTGGCAGGGTAGTTTTTAGTTAATCTGACTGAGTGTTCAAAATTCATAAGGAAGATGTTTTTTGAAGAGAAACTACGAGGGATATCCTTCATGTATAATGAATCTAGAGGATGTGGAACCACAATGTTATCCCTCATTCATCAAGAAACGAGGCAATCACAATCCTCTCAACAAGCAAAGACAAGCTAATGTCACACATTTTGTTCAAAAAGTCAAGAATCGAGAAAAAGAAAAAGCCTGCTAAGTCAAAAAACATGAAAACGTGTGACTTAGGACAAAATTAAGGCATCCCGCTAGACTATCAATTCAAAAGAATTAGTTCAGGCAAAAGTTAGGGAAAATAAAAATTGCAAAGAAAGGACTGCAAAGAAAAGTCATCAACAAAGAACAAATTGGTGACTACAAACACGAAGACATGAGGGTGGTTTCTACTCCGAAAACCTCGTCATTTCCTTAATCGTCACAAAATCCTTTTGAGAGATGAACGCTCATGTTGAATTAACTGAACATAGGATTGGAGAACATTATGAAGGGGGTGGGCACCAAATATTTTGAGCCTTAAAATATTTTTTCTAAAACCATGAACCAGACCACATTACAACCTTCAAAAGTCCTAATTGAAGCAAGGTTATTTTGAAAGCACACTTCCATGAGACAGTGTTCATGACTCCCATGAATGTTTGTTAAATAGTTATGTTGGTATCATATGATTTTTCTATACAAAAATAAATGGCGCTTTAACTCGCAAAATTTGTGCGATAT